TTTCAAGCCCACACTAAAATAAAAAACTATTTTAATAAAAAACAATTGATTAGCTTATACATATATATTTTTCTATTATACCGGATGTTCAAAATAAAGCGTTACAAATTTTTATTTCGGAAATCCGGCATTATTAAAAGAAATTGTTCAGACAAAAGTTGAAGGGTTCAAAAAGATCTATATACTGATCTCAATTTGACTTTGGGTGGCGTCGCCAAGATCAGGTTAAGATTATGTCGATTTTTGAAAAATGGAACACTCTACTTTTGATTCAAGAATATGTATATTTAGGTAATGGTAATGCCGGTAGTACTGTAACTTTCAAGCATAACTCAAAAAATACTTAATGAAAAAAGATTTTCTTATTGCGTTTTAGAAAACTTTCGACATCAGCTATTAGATTCTGGAAACAAAGTAGGGTCCCAGTTAAAAAAATCAATGTGGCCTTGACTTGATCTTGGCGACACCCAAAGTTAAACTAATAAGATCAGTAAATAGTCCTTTTTGAATCCTATAACTTTTATTTGAATAATTTTGAATAATTTTTTCTCAATAATGCCGTATTTCCGAGATTAACATTTATAACATTAAAAAAACGTTTCTTTTAACATTAAAAAAATTTCTAAAAATTTCTATAAACGTTTGAATAAACATTTTTTTAATGAAAAAAAGGGGACTTTTCTTGTTATTTTAAACGTTACTTTCATCATAAAAACATTTTCGACAAATCTTAAAAAAGCGTTTTTCATATAAAAAACATTTTCTTAAAATAATCCTATATGTAAAAGGCATACACTACTACGCAAGATCTTGGAAGCGAAATAACAGTTTAAATCAAGAAAAAAAAATATATATATACAGGGTGGCATGAATATACGGCCCACTCGTTCCGAGCAGGTAGAGTGGACTAAACTGAGTAGAAAAATCCTCATTTTGTAATGCTCGCAATAATTAACGAGATATATATTGGGTCGGAAAAAATGTTTCATATTTTATAAAATTTTTTTTCAAAAGTTTTTGATTTGTTGCGAAATTTTCGTTACAATTATATCATTCGCTAGAGCAAAGTTTCAGCTTTAAAAATCTGTTTTTTAAATTGCGGTATGATGATTTTGCGGTATGATGAATTTTTACCGGAGTTATAAGCAATCAAAATCAGAATGTTCCTTTATTTATCTCGCGAATAAGTCAGGAACAAAAAATCATAGAAACATTTAAAGAAATGATTTTGTAGGGA